ATAATTTTTACCATAAAAGAATCGGTTTAACAACTCGTGAGAATTAGATATCACTTGTAAGCAACTCTCGTTATTTAGTTTCAATAATAATAATAAACTCACCGAGTTAATATCAAGCTATATCCAATTCTAATTCTTTATAAAACTTAATCGATTTTCTGCATCAAAAGAAATTTCTGATTTTATGCACTGAAGAGTGAGTTGAATCAACAAGAGGCTCTAAAGAGCCTGTGTTGCTCACCTGTATCTTCAACAATGGCTACGTTTTGGTGAAAATCATCATGAAAAGGAAATAACTTCAATAAGGAGTCGACTGACGATTTTGATCAAGTTGACTTATTAGATCTTGTCCTGCTGATCATTATTCCTTTTTAAAGTTTCTAACTATCTATTACAGGTTTTTATGATAAAAGGCAAAAACACAAAAAAATTTGTAAAAATCATCATTAAAGAGCAATAACTACAATAAGGAGTCGTCTGACGATTTCAGCCATGTTAACTTATTTGTAGATCTTGTATTGCTCATCATTTTTCCTAATAAAACTTTCTTTGTAACTATTGTAATTTTCAAAATGATAGACAAAAATGAATGGCAATAATTTCTATAAGATGTCGTCTGACATTTTTGACGTAAATGGACAGCAATTAGATCTCAACATTCTCAACATTTCTGCCCACTGTTAGATTTCCTCAATTCATAGCAGTTTTCAAGATTATAGACAAAACTTGCAGTTTACCCCTATCTTCTATTTTTAGCCATGTCCGCTATCTTGGTTGGCAGGCTAGTTAATCGGACACATTTTTTAAAGAAAATACCCTAATAATGATTGTGGTCAAGTTTGATTAAATTTGGCCCAGTAGTTTCAGAGGAGAAGATTTTTGTAAAAGTCAATGATGATGACGATGGACACCAAGTAATGAGAAAAGCTCAGTTGGCCTTTTGGCCAGGTGAGCTAAAAATGTGTTTATTTGGTTGGCCTTATTTGCAATGTGAAATCCAATTGAAACATTGTCATTTGATGTTGGTAAGATCAATGATGACTAGCAAAGGTCACAATAGACTACTTTTTCTCTGTAGCACCATTATTGCTTACATCAAGCTTGATGCTATATCATTTGAATAACCCAGTATCATTTACTTAATCATCAATTAGGAAAAAAAGAAAGAAGTCTGTGTGTGTAATGTTAAACTGCACTTATGACTTGTTTTTCTGTTTGCCTAATGCTAAAACCTGAAGTCTCATATTAGTTTGTGTCCCAGACAAGGGTCCTGAAACGGTCATATTTGCCAGTCATGTCCTAAGCTGCAAGCTATTTGTCCTAAACGAAAAATTGGGATTTAGGACAAGTTTTATTTTTTTACAGAAATAATTTCGGTCATTTCATTGAGATTGGGTTTCTTAATCGCCATTTTGCACTTGTTTTAGTTTTACAATCCCTTTCCTGTAATAAAACTGCCACTCCAGTATAGATGATAATCCTGAGGGACCTCCTAATAACTATATCATGCCTCCGGGAAATATTGGCTAATGATCGCTAATCACTTTTTACCTGTGTTTAATTCACACCTGACAATGATCACAAGCTCAGAACTAATATCATAAAGAAATTAAAATTCCATGACAACTGTATTCATTATTTAATTACTTTTCAGCAAAGACAATCAATAATTCTGATTTGAAAAATAAAACTTAATTCAATTTATGTAGAAAAAAGTAATTTTTTACGAGTAACTCATGTGCTTTATTTACTATGTAATACACATGCGTAAAATTGTCTTCAGCAGACAGGACATTTAATAGTAAAATGCAAAATGATTTCATGCTAAATTAAACAAGTGCAACTAATATCTATTATATTCAAACACTTTCAAAGGTAAAAGAATTTAAAACCCAGTGATTTCTTGTCAATTTGATAAACAAAACGAATCCCAGAAATGAATCCGGAATTAATCGTACTTTAGAATTGTCACAAAACTTCCGGTTTAAAATTCGTCTAAACTTAACATTAACCAAGAAAACTAAACATTGACCAATGAACCATGAAAATGAGATCAAGGTCAGATGAAACATGCCAGGCAGACATATACAGTTAGCAATTCTTCCATATAACAAATATAGTTGACCTATTGCTTATAGTTTAAGAAAAACAGACCTTAACACTGAGCAATGAACCGTGAAAATGAGGACATGGTCATATAAAACCTGCGCGACTGACATATAGATCATAAAATATTTCCATACACCAAATATAGTTGACCTATTGCATATTGTACTAGAAAAAAAGACCAAAACTCAAAAACAACTTTGACCACTGAACCATGAAAACGAGGTCAAGGTCAGATGACACCTGCCAGCTAGACATGTACACCCTACAATCATTCCATATACCAAATATAGTAGACCTATTGCATACAGTATAAGAAAAACAGACCAAAACACAAAAACTTAACTATAACCACTGAACCATGAAAATGAGGTCAAGGTCAGATGACACCTGCCAGTTGGACATGTACACCTTACACTTACAGTCCTTCCATACACTGAATATACTAGACCTATTGCTTATAGTATCTGAGATATGGACTTGACCACCAAAACTTAACCTTGTTCACTGATCCATGAAATGAGGTCGAGGTTAAGTGAAAACTGTCTGACGGGCATGGGGACCTTGCAAGGTACGCACATATCAAATATAGTTATCCTATTACTTATAATAAGAGAGAATTTAACATTACAAAAAATCTTAACTTTTTTTTCAAGTAGTCACTGAACCATGAAATTGAGGTCAAGGACATTGGACATGTGACTGACAGAAACTTCGTAACATGAGGCATTTATATACAAAGTATGAAGCATCCAGGTCTTCCACCTTCTAAAATATAAAGCTTTTAAAAAGTTAGCTAATGCCGCCGCCGCCGCCAGATCACTATCCCTATGTCGAGCTTTCTGCAACAAAAGTCGCAGGCTCGACAATTAGTCGCTCAATCATACTCAAGTCACACATAGTGGTTATGAAGTGTTCAAATACTGAGCATAACCCATAATAATAGGAGTAATCTATGAAACTGTATATCAATATTTGTGAAAAAACCCTTGTAATCATACTAGTTTTCCAATCTTTCCTAAAATTCTAGACATTGAAAAGTAGCAAATAAAAAAGGAAATTTGTAATATACTTAAAGTCTTTTTACTCAAAGGTTCTTCATTCTTTGTCGAATAAGCAATAACAGCTAATAATAATCCACAGTTAAAAACAGTTCTCTTATCTAAACTTCTTCTTTGATGATCAATAGTAAGAATCAATTTATTATTTGCCCGTTTAAGCTTCCATACATGTAATATAGAGATATTTGAAATACAGGAATTCACTTTTTAAATTTTTATTTTTTTTTCTAAATCAACATCCCTTTTCTGCATGTAATTTTGATGTCTGTAGAAGACATTTTGATCCTTCCCTGGTAAATGTTGGCATAAAAAATTAATAATGTGTAACACAGAACAATTCATAAAATAAATAAATTAAAAAGAACAGTGATGCAGCTAATCGTAGGACCTGTCAGACCTAGCTGACCTAGGGGGCAGAAATTTAGAGGGTCCGGCAAATGACGTCTTTGTGTCAGACCCAATGACCGGCAAATATTTTTACTGTTTGGGGCCTTCAAAATTGAAATTTCTGTAGGTCCTGGTTACCTTGGCTTCCAAATCAATTATGTAGTTGAAAAGCATTGAAAACCAAAAGTTCTAATGACACATTTTATTGCCGTTAATAAGTAAACGTGCTGATGTAAACAGATTTCGATCTTCTCTGCGTTTATCCAATTAGCGTATGTCATGTGATCATAATTATTTTGTATTTCTCGGGATTTAACATTACACATAGCAATGAATGAAATGAAAGTAAATTTCCCGTAACAATATTGAATAGAACCATGTTTTCAGATTCTGATGATAACAAGACTCAGCAAGTGTTATAAGGAAGGGTCCCCCAGACGCACAGTTCATGCAATGGTGCTTCCAGACAGAAAACCATGTATTCAGGGAGCGAATACGTGCCTTAATGGGAACATTGTTAGTACGACAAACACAGGTTTCGTCTCCATATGACAATTGTCAAATTAGTGGTGCATGAATTAAAACAGTTGGAATAATAGATGGCCAAATCAATTATGAAGTTGAAAAGCATTGAAAACCCAAAGTTCTATTAAGGGACAACTAATGACCAGATTTATGTAAACTAAATTAAACAAAAACAAGTATTATTTTAGTTTTCTAAGAGTATTTTTTCATTTAAGTTAATGTGTGAACAGACATATTCGTTTTAACGTAAATGTAGCTTGCCACTGTCTTTGTTTTTTATCTAATTGTTCTTATGCAAATTAATAAGACAAGTCTTATTGGCAAGTGTAGTACAACATTCTCATTTATTTATTTGATGTTGCAGGATAATTTAAATTAAATGTGGTCTCAGTCATTAAACCACCCCATGGTCATATCCTTATTTCACATGGTCATTCTTGTCAAGGTTTTAAGGCGTATCTTAATCCAACTGGGAGCTAGTTACTATTTTTCAAAATAAGTAGGTCTGGCAAACAGTTGATAGGACTGGCAAAACTGTTTTACATGCAGGACCCAATGTCTGACAAAAAAAAAAAATTATCTGCATCTCTGAAAGAAGTTGCTCACATTGTCATGCTAAGCAAACCCTCACTCATATTCAAAGTATCAGAAAACAGGAAATCAGTTTCTAACAGATCCCAAAAGTATGCAATAGTAACAAAACATCCCTATCAAGCTGTTAACTGAATAGGAAGTCATCTTGTTCTGTAGTATATGATAAAATTGTGATGAGATTATTTTTGAGCACAGTACTGAAGAGCAAGGCAATGCAATCTTGGAGTGGGGTATAATGATAATACATATCAATAATTCTCACACTTTCAAAGTCTTTTTTTTCATTTCTAAAACTGCACAGTTCATTAAACTTTTCAATATACTTACCAATAAATCTGACAGTTTTCAGTTTGGATTCTATATTTATTTGATCCTTCTTCCTAACCTGAAATTTTAAGGATAAAAATAAATCTGTGGCTCAAAGGGAATATAATCTACTCTTTTATCTGATCTTTCACTTGATACAGTATTGTATTGGATTGTTTAATTTTCCTAGAACCCCTTTTTTGTCATTTTGGCTACACATTCGTAAACTCATAAAACCAATAATTGGATAATATTTTGTCATACTTTAATTTCATTAAATCTCCTTTAAGTATGATTTCACCCTTAAGATTTTGTAAAATGTGTGATAAAATCACAAAAAATGAACAAAAAGCAAAAAAACACAATCATACATACATGCCATCGAAAATCTCCTTTGAGTAACTGCACCAGATCATTAGCAACATCTGGCATACAGGGAAACAGAGTGGCAACCATTCTTGCATAAAAAGACAGTAGGTCATACCTGAAATAAGTATCATATAAAGTATTACTCAAAGATTAAAGTCTTAATAATAAATACTCAAGGCCATCAGAATGACATATTAGAGAAAGACTAACACATTTAAGTGTATCAAATGCTTCAAAATTTTTTAAAGTTATAAAGAACAGAGTTCCAATGTCCCCCTCATTGCACATATTTTATATATCCAAGTCCAAAAGGACTTTTTACAAATATCTTAAGAGAAATGAAGGCTTGAGAGCAAATACAATGCAATTTCCAAGGGGCATAACTCTTTTGAGAATAATTGATCAGCACTGTTTTTGAACTTGTCCAAGGCATTGCTTACATAAACCTTTAACATTAATTTGATAAAAATCTGTCAAGAATTGTACACATGGGAACACTAACAATGCAATTTTCCTTATAATTTATATTTCTAAGGGCATAACTGTTTAAAAAATAATTGATCTGCACTGATTTTCAAACTTGTCCAAGACATTGCAGATATAATCCTATGATATAAATTGATATAAATCTGGCAAGTTTTATACACATGAAAATGCTAACAATGAAATTTTCCATAAAATAAATATTTCCAAGGAGCATAACTCTTTTAAAAATACTTGTTCGTCACTGATTATAATTTGTCCAGGACATTTCTGATATATACCTATGAAATAAGTTTTTTTTTAAATCTGGCAAGAATTGTACACGTGACACGCCCAGTATTTCTATGTTCCCCACCCAAATGCGTTGCGCGGGGGACAAAAATGTCCACGAACTCTTACACTAGATTCCTGTCAAAAGACAAAAGGCAGATGCACATGACTTTTTGTACTCTTACTGTTTTTATTTGCCTTTACACAATATCAATTGGCCAATATTATTTCAAGCTGCAAATTGAATGCATCTCTTTAAACTGATATAGTAAAAACTTTTTCTTAAAACTGGAACATGAAAATAATGTCAAGGCAAAATGACATATGTCAGTTGAAGTTGAACATCAAATTCATCAAACTAGAGGCTCTAAAGAGCCTGTGTCGCTCACCTTGGTCTATGTGCATATTAAACAATGGACACAGATGGATTCATGACAAAATTGTGTTTTGGTGATGGTAATGTGTTTGTAGATCGTACTTAACTGAACATTCTTGCTCCTTACTATTATCTCTATCTATAATGAACTTGGCCCAGTAGTTACAGTGGAAAATATTTTGTAAAAATTTACAAAAATTTACAAAATTTATGAAAATTGTAAAAAATTGACTATAAAGGGCAATAACTCCTTAAAGGGTCAATTGACAATTTTGGTCATGTTGACTTATTTGTAGATCTAACTTTGCTGTATATTATTGCTGTTTACAGTTTATCTCTATCTATAATAATATTCAAGATAATAACCAAAAGCTGCAAAATTTTCTTAAAATGACGAATTCAGGGGCAGCAACCCAACAACAGGTTGCCTGATTGGTCTGAAAATTTCAGGGCAGATAGATCTTGACAAAATGAACAATTTTATACCATCAGATTTGCTCTAAATGCTTTGGTTTCAGAGATATGAGCCAAAAACTGCATTTTACCCTATGTATTATTTTTTTGCCATGTCAGCCATCTTGGTTTGCGGGCAGGGTCATCGGACACATTTTTTAAACTAGATGCCCTAATGATGATTGTGGACAATTTTGGTTAAATTTGTCTTAGTAGTTTCAGAGGAGAAGATTTTTGTAAAAGATTACAAAAATTTACGAAAAATGGTTAAAAATTGACTATAAAGGGCAATAACTCCTTAAGGGGTCAACTGACCATTTTGGTCAAGTTGACTTATTTGTAGATCATACTTTGCTGAACATTATTGCTGTTTACAGTTTATCTCTATCTATAATAATATTTAAGATAATAACCAAAAACGGCAAAATTTCCTTAAAATTACCAATTCAGGGGCAGCAACCCAACAACGGGTTGTCCGATTCATCTGAAAATTTCAGGGCAGATAGATCTTGACCTGATAAACAATTTTACCCCATGTCAGATTTGCTCTAAATGCTTTGGTTTCAGAGATATAAGCCAAAATCTACATTTTACCCCTATGTTCTATTTTTAGCCATGGCGGCCATCTTGGTTGGTTGGCGGGGTCATCGGACACATTTTTTAAACTAGATACCCCAATGATGAGTGTGGCCAAGTTTGGTCAAATTTGGCCCAGTAGTTTCAGAGGAGAAGATTTTTGTAAAAGTTTACGGACGACGGACGACGGACGCAAAGTGATGAGAAAAGCTCACTTGACCTTTCAGGTCAGGTGAGCTAAAAAAGCACTTACCAAATATTTTTTACTGAAAACTTAACCTGACTACAGCAGTGAGAAAAATAAGCTCAAGACCAGGGGAAAATGATTATCTGACAAGGTATTACCATGATCATCACCTATACAAACATTGGTTAGTATAGGTGAATAAAGTCATTAACAATTTTGAACATTGATGTTTGAAATCTCACCTTCTGCAATATTTGTTACAGCAAGATTTAAATTACCATTGTGCCTTCTGTGTTCCTTAAGTTCTAGTTCTACTGTTTGTTTAGTGTCAATGTTGGTTGGTTGACAGGAAAAATAGACACAATTCCCAAACAAAATCAATTGATTGATTGTTGTTTGCTTTATGTTCAGTGGCAAATAATCATGCATGGTCAGGATGAGAACAAATTAACAATAATTACAATAGGTACATCCTGCAATAAGGGGTCAACTTGGATGGTGGGCAGGAAATTTGGAATGCCACTGGAGAATATGATATATTGGATAGACAGAAATTAAGCCTTGTAACAGGCCACCTACGAACTACTCCAAGAGTTGTTGCAACAGTTCTTAGTGTGCAGAGAGCATGACACTCTCTTTCTACAAAAGGCATCAGATTTAACATCCCAATTCTGACCAGGCATGGCTGCAAATTTATACAACCCACACAGCCAACTTTGGCAAGGGTTTTACTGCAGGTCAGAGGAAGACCATGGGATAACCATATCTCTATACCCCAGTCAATCCTTGGGATTTCCAAACAAGACACCTAAGGATGCACATATAAGTAACCATGTTAACACCAAGTGATTTTACAGGAAACCAGATGAATGCACAAAAGATCCAATTGATAGCAGCAACTCACACTGACCCTGTGAGGCAGGTAGAATGAACAATGAAAGAATCAACCAATTAAAACAATGCTATATCAATTATCATTATCTTACCTAGTTCTATGTACTGTAAATAAAGCTTTTACTAATTTCTTTCTGTTCATCTTTGTGTTGAAGTTCATACAAAACTCTATTGCAGCCTGGAAAAATCAAATGAAATAATTACCCAACATGCTATCAAAAATTTGTAAGGGTTCCGCGGAACCCAGTGTCTCACCTACTTTTGCTGTTAGTCGTTGGCTCAACAAAAATGGGGAAAAAATTATTAAAAATTTTCCTCTAGATACTATCTTTAATTGTAAGAAGCTTCTATCCAAGTTTGGTAAAAATCCAGGATGGTTTATGAATCTAATAAATGTTTTAAAAACTTTAACTGCAGACTGTATGTAATGTTAACTTGAAGAAAAACTAAGTCCATTTATAAGTAATATACAGAAAAACAGGAAATAAATTTTTACAAAATTTCCTTATAGATACAGCTTTTGATCATAAACAAGCTTCTGTCAAGTTTGGTACAAATCTAGGATAGTTTAAGAAAGTTATTAAAATTTTAAAAACTTTAACCACAGAGTGAATGTAATGTTAACTGGCAGAAAAACTAAGTCCATTTATAAGTAAAATACGGATAAACAGGATTTTTTTACAAAATTTACTTCTGGATACTATCTTATGATCATAAACAAGCTTCTGTCCAAGTTTGGCAGAAATCCAGGATAGTTTAAGAAAGTTATTAAAATTTTAAAAACTTTAACCACAGAGTGAATGTAATGTTAACTGGCAGTGGCAGAAAAACTAACTCCATTTAAAAGTAAAATACGGATAAACAGGATTTTTTTTTTTACAAAATTTACTTCTGGATACTATCGTATGATCATAAACAAGCATCTGTCCAAGTTTGGTAGAAATCCAGGATAGTTTAAGAAAGTTATTAAAATTTCAAAAACTTTAACCACAGAGTGAATATCTGTGGACGCCGCTGACGACGACTGATTGTAGGATCGCTATGTCTCGCTTTTGCAACAAAAGTCGCAGGCTCGACAAAAATAACTTACTGTGGTGTGGATTCATTATTATTCGTTGGATACCAATTTTCGTGCATTTCTTGGTCACAGGGGAACCACAAATTTAAATGTTCAATGAATTACTAATTTTCTATAGGAATGTATGCAGACTTTTGCCAAACCACGAAATAAAATATCCACGAAAATGCAAGTTTTCCTCATTCCACGAAAATTGGTACCCACGATAATAAATGAATCCACAGTATATAGTTTCATTTAAGCAAAGCCATTTAAAGTAACCTATCTGATCAGAACTTAAGCATTCTGGCAAAAGTAAACAGAAACAATATTATAAAATAAGTAAGAAAGCATCAAACAATTGAAACATGCTTTTGACTAGATTACCCAGCTTATTGGTCTACATATTGGAGGAACATCTTTTTTAAATGACTAAAATGATCATTTTATATTTTCCAATTGGAAACTCTTTGAATATAAAATTGCATTACCTTTGCTTGAATTTTAATATGATGACATGGTAATTTTTTCAATACAAAGAATTTGTTCGAAATTATTCACAAACGGATGATTTAATTCTATGATAGATTGTACTGTAAATTCACCATTTTTGCTAAAATAGTGAGAATAGAGAGCTTAATTTTACTTTTTGTGTTTTTCTCATGAAAATACACAATAACATATACCGCCTTAAAAATGTCAAACATCAAATTTTCTTCTTTATTTTTTTGGATTTGACCCCTTAAAAGTTCTTACAAAGATAAAGGATTAATGTTTGTCTCAGATTTAGGGAAGGACTGTACCCTAGACTGATGCCCTGTAACAAATCTGAGGAAGGACTGTATTCAAGACTTATTCTCTGCTTTCAGATTTTGGGATGGACTCAACCTTTAGATTCCTTGTTAGCTCAAATAGGGAAAGACTGTATCACGTACTTACTTTATCTATTAGCTCCCTGTTGACACAGTTGGGAAGGGACTGTACATAAGCATCAAATTGCATTTTCATCAAACTTCCTGTATCAGTATCTTCCTCTGTAATGAAAATTCAAAATCAATTTATAGTCAAATTTGTCACCCACAAATGCTTAATTGGAAACTAAAAGTACATTCAATAAAAATCTTATAATTTGAAAGTTTAATTAGACCATTTCTTGGTCTATTTCCATTAGGACTCAGTTCCTAATTTTCAATATTTTACAGATACATGCTAAAAAATTCATTCTTTTTCAACCCCAAGTTTCTTTACTTACCCTCTCCCTCCTGTAAAAGAAGATCTACATCTGTGGATTCTTCCTCCTTTCCATCTTGTTCCTCTTTACTCTCTACTTCTGCAATCTGTTGTTCTGTTTCCATTTCTCTTTCTACATCTTCAATCTTTAGGTCGAACTCATCTGAGAAACAGAAAACAACTCATATATATGTCATGTAGATTTAAATATACATAGGTTTTATTCTTGAAAAATGAATGTAATAAATTGGCAAAATACTCAGAAAACTGTTCACATAACCATGCAAATCAATCATTTCTTTAACATTGCAGATTTCAGGAACCTTTACTCTACACATTTCCTGATCATAATATCTTTTTTTTCCATCATGTATCATGGCAACAAAACTGTATTTACAAAAAATTGAAAAACACATCTAAATACTGAATCCAAGATATGTGTTTATATTTCAGGTAAATCAAAGATTTGGTCAATGTACAATAATACCAGATAAGGAAATTACAGTCAATCTTTGTTATCATGAAGTCAGAAATATAATGAGATACCCATAGTCTGACTCAAACGAATATCCGAAATTTGACAGTCCAAGGGACACAACTTTTGATTAGCTTGGTAAGGCTATAATAAATAAAGATGGATATTGGTCAAAGATAGATATTCTACATGAGATCAATGTATCTGTATGTAATGGTCATTTATTATTACAATAAAACTATATGTTTTTTTTGCCTCTTTGTATTTTTCCTGTGGTTTTCAGCCGAGAGAATAATTTTGTGACATTTTTTCACAGATATTTTGAACAATGTATTTGTGTCTACACTTTGTTTCCTTACAGGTTTTTGAGTGGATTTAGTGACTATTTTATACTGTACTCATTAAATTACCCAAAGACCAATTAATATTAAAGTGATTTTAAGTTGACAAATCCTCTTATACATTTGACGCTATTTAGCAATAAAAATATGAATTGTATTAAAAGATTTATTAATTATAATCATATCAGTACTAACAATATAATTGTAAATCTGGCTCCCCTTTCCCCCTTTAAAACACAACAAAACAAAACAAACTAAATACAAGTTAAAAAAAATATTCAAGTCTTCCTGTTGTATATTAAAGATATTTTAAGATTTACCAATGTTTTCTTCTTCTCCTGGTTCTTTTGTGGTCCCTTGTTCACTGTCTTTGAAACAAATCTGAAGATTAAATGACAATATTGGTTACATGATGTTTAACATTACTTTTCATATATTCTAACAATTATACCAGGAGGAACAGTTTAATAAGTGAAGGAAGCCTGGGTACCTGTAATTAACCACAGATCTTCAGATAGTTGGCAATCTCTTTCACATGCTATTAGAAAAGTGTGTATTATTTTTGTTTTGGCAAATGATTACTGTGAGACTCAAGTAAAAACGTGCTGAAGTGATCATAAACATATATGACCCTAATAAAAGTATTCTTTATCAGTAGGCATCTTTAAGTAAGTTTCAATGGTAATGTAAAGATACTTTCAATGAGTAGTTATTACATTTCAAAAGTGTCTATCTATGTTCCATGTTCCATGTGACATTGTATAAAAAAAGGACATCTGTTTATCATCAGAAATTTAGTTTTCTGACTCTCTTACTGTAAAATCAAACCAAATCAGAATAATGACCACCTTCAATGATAGAACTTGATAATCCTTTCCTTAAAGAATATATGGTATTAATACTTACACCAGGTATAAATGCTTTCAAATCTGGTAGATTTTCATAGAAGACTCTGGAGTCTTCATCTTCAAATAAAGTGGTATCTCCAACATACTGAAACTAAAGTCAATGTCAAGATTATAAACTTCTGAATAAAATTCATATCATATTTGATATCAACTGCCCTGTTGGCCCTAAAAAGCTTTTACATAAAAAAATCTGTAAATATTTAGCAAATTTGTATAAATTTCATAGAAACATATTCATTTATGCAAATGGAACTAGACATTGGTCTCAAAAGCAATTTTATTTGTATAAAAACCAGTAACATTATAAGTGTTATACATTTAGCAAGAGAATAGATGACTACTTAGACAATAACTCAATAGAATCTTCAAGAATATTGTTCTCGTTCCTTTAGTTGATTAAAACACTGAACAATCCAATTCATAACTCTTAGGGTTAATTCCCTTTATTATTCACAATTTGTGAACAGTGTATATTTTCTATTTCAATTACAACTCATAAAAGCAGTGGACTTAGATAAGTAGTAACACTGATGAACCAACAAATAAACAATGACATCAAAGAACATCAAACAAAACAATACTAAGCCAACTAACCTCAGCATCTTTTTCTGGGTGATAGATATCAAATCCACTTTCATCATCTCTCTTTATATCTGTACAGAAAAAATACAGTTTTACATCAAAGACAATATATCCAACACACATATTACATGTGAAGTTTTATTACCACCTGTTATAATTTGTAAATTAAGTTTTATAGACATGATGCCTTTGTAGTAACTACTTCCAACTTTTTAATGAAAAATTATTAAAAATATATAGTTTGACATATAAATGATATTAATAAAAAAATACTGAAACAAAGACAAAAATAAACATTTAAGCAAATCATGGTCTTATCTAACAATAAAAAAACATGACTTAATAAATACCTTCTTCAGGTAAATCTGGCAAATCTTCATCCAACAAATCCTAAATGGAAAATAACATTTGTTATTATTCAATTAAAACTATTCCCCTACCTCAATTCAAGACCTTTCAAATAGAGAAAAAAAACTTGTATCATATCCATTTTTTCATGTAACTGGTCAGTTCAGTTTTAAGTTTTAATTAACCACAGGTCATAATTTGATTTGTAAATCAGGTATTGGAAAATTTTAAAAGATTTAATACAGTTTCAGGGGAGATAACAGTTAACATGACAATGATCTTTTATTATCCTGTTGTTATTAAGTTTTTTTATGATCAAAAAGGTCGAAGACAGGTGAATCCTGTCTAATGTACATGTTGACCTTACATTGATCCCATATACCAAACGGTTTATCCTAAAACTCATAAAAGAGAAATTCACATGACAAAAATCTTATGCAGAATTTGAAGAAAAAATTTGAATAAGAAAACGTAACGAATATGGCATACCTATTAGAAACAAAGCAACAAAATACATTCTACCTAAGGCTATAAAGAATACTTACAGCAAATACTGAAGTGTTGGTAAACAGTTTCTGGTACCCAGTCAGTAATGCATCATAATGTTCCTTTCTATCCTGACTTATCTCCCCTTTAGTGTGAAGGATTTTCCTGTTTTGTCTTTCAACTGACTTCAGTTCTTTGTGGTCTTTTATCAGATGCTTACAGAGGGATTGGTAATAATCTCCAAACAAATTTCTACAATTTTTTTGTCTTTCTGGTGTCAGCATCTGAGATAAAATTAATTTTATGAAATAATTTTAAACAACATTATCCTTATTTGATATAAATATTCAACGATATAATAATGAACACTTAAAATTGAACATTCTGCCTTATTTGATATAAATATTCAACGATATAATAATGAACACTTAAAATTGAACATTCTGCCTATAGAAGAAGTGTAATCCATAGGACTACACATTAGAACCAGCAAAATCTAAAAACTAATATCCTGTCTAAAAGATTTCAAAACATACACAAACATTCAATACAAACTTGTCTTTCTATGCGTTTACAAATTAATATATGTTTAAAAAGATTCATCTATATCATAATTTCAATGACAGATGAGGAATTCAAATCTGACAGGATTATAAGTATAATTTTCTATTACTTGCTTCAGACTAATAACCTTTCACTAGCTATGACCTATACTGTTTTATTAGTTGATCGGTTTTTGGTTTGTAGAGATAAATTCAAACTGCCCTTTGGTAAAATATACAAGCAATTGGTATTGTGAAAGGTCAAAGCCTTTAGGATAAGCGCAGTAAAAACAAGTTTCACTTTGAAGTATATATATTCAGTACTTACTGATCTTTTGGGAATGTCTCCCCCATATTTCTCTGACAGAAGTCTGCAAGTATAAATTCCACAGTTATAAATGATAAATGAAAAATTTCAATTAACCTCCTCTAATATCTTTATCTGAACTTATGTTATGTGTATCAAATTTATTTACACTGCATCAATATACATGGTATAGAATCCTTTGCTTACTAATTTCTCTACTTATATAAGTATAATATATATATAGGCTATTTTCCAAATGAAACAAGACTGTTGGTAAGATTTGGATATTCTGTATCAAAAGAACTGTAATTTGCTCAAGCTTTTACTTCAGAGACAAAAAGATGCAGAAAATACTCAACAAGAATGTGTCCATAGTACACGGATGCCCCACTCGCACTATCATTTTTCTATGTTCAGTAGACCCTGAAATTGGGGGCAAAACTCTAATTTGGCATTAAATTTAGAAAGATCATATCATAGGGAACATGTGTACTAAGTTTCAAGTTGATTGGACTTCAACTTCATCAAAAACTACCTTGACCAAAACCCTGAAGCGGGACAGACGGACGGACGAATGGACGAACGAACGGACGCACAGACGGAAAAACATATTGCCCCTAGGTGGGGCATAAATCTCATGTCCAAAGTTGTTTACTAAATTTTACCATTCTTTAATGCACACAGTTTCAAGTCTGTTTTGAAGCTTCATCTGGCATTAACTTTGTATCAGATCTGTGTAATTATCTCAACAACTTAGTTAAATAGGGATATATTTACCTGAACTTTCTTGGTATCAGACCTGCATAATCTTCACCACAATGTTTGCAAAAGCTGGTCACTATAGACAGATTATTATGTCCGTCTTTGTCATTATTCATTAGTAGTCCAAGTTGATTTGCTAACAGTCCCAAACCTTCTCTGTGTTTGATTACACCAACAGATACCAACTCAGCAAAGAACCTCAAGTCAACCCTGTATTTACTTGGATTGCTGATCTGTAATGAAACATAAAGTAAACAAAACAAAGCCAAGAATATTACATCAACTCAATATTGACTTTGGTTGGTGATCTGATATCAAATTTGTAAGTTAGTATTGACTTATTCATCATCATAAATTATGTTGTGCAGTTTTAGCAGCCTTCTTAATAATATTTGGACCAATCAAAAAATTTAAAAATAGCGATGTTCCCATAGGACAGTATAATTTCTGAATTGGTCTTATTAGTACCCATTTACTTAAAAACAAGACAGAGGCATATCATACACTTTAAATTGGAAAATTTATGTTACTGGTTTATTTTTGCTTATTTCGGAATAACAATGTAATCACAAAATTATCCCATCACAAAAATTTTATCTTTATGGAAGTCACATATTTCAATTATTAATCCACCACTTAGTAAGTAAATTAAAAAATAATCCAACTCCTAACAACAAAGAACAAAGACTTTAAACTTTCTAAACTACAATGAAATAATTAAATCAAAAACTAAAGAGCCTGTAATTGCTCAACCATCTTTACTACAGACTTTTTTAATCAAACCTACATACTTTAGATCAATACAGAAATATACTGATTGTAACTACTATAATCCAAATTCAAACTTCAATGAAACATGAAATTTTTCCATAGCTTGCACTACAAGCTTATTAGAATAGTTTGACATTAAATTATCTTAAGAATTACAAAATTCATGAAGAACCATCATTTCAAAAACTTTCTGTAAAGAATATTTAAGGATGATGGTTATGAAGATGGTTAACCCAAAGTATAATAAAACAAAATAAAAAATTATCAACATGCATGCAATTAACTTACTTTACGTTTATTAATTACTTTACCAAAAAGTATCTATTAAATTAAGGTCTTGATTGTTAATAGCATAAAAAACAAAGAAAAATTTAAAGAATTAGACAACAGCAAATTTTCTTATATTTTCATTTAAAATACAAATGAAAGAAATGTTACCAAGATTAACTTATATGAGCTTGTATTTACCTAGAATTTATACTTTTTCCTTTGATGTTCAAGTAAGTTTGGATATATTAGAAATAGGGCGAGCAGGATGTAAATCTGGCAAATAGTAATAGATCAGGATATATGCACCAATTTATCACCCACAGGCAGTATATGTAGATTGTCATAAAAAGTTTCTATCGAACTCTAATATGGCTTATTTATAAGGTTCTCTGTAAAAAGCCACTTCAAGTTTAGATATTATTAAAATCAACCACAACAAAAATGGGTAAAAATTAAATTATTTAATGCCCAAAAAGGCGCAAGCCAGGGTCGACTATGCAAGGGCTGTATAGCCAGTCAAGGTCGTTAAAAACTTCCATTTGTGAACAAAAAGGGGAAGGTGTCAGTTAGGAAACATGCTCTGAAGAATAAGTGAAAATGCAAATTAGGCTCCATAAATGAGATACGAAAGTATTGTTTTAGCACTTTACAGTAATACAAATAGGTTACACAATAAACCTAATATGTATTCACATATTTCTTGTATGTGATAAATTCTATTTCCTATACAATAACATTTTTTTTGTAAGGCAACTTTACCTTAGATTCACCCAAGTTCTCCTTAGTAATTTTCGTTTCATGAACAATATTTTGTAGAACTCTTAATGATAATTGATTACTACATATATAACATATTAAAGATAGTTATCCAGCAAGTTAGGTTATTTTCCTATCTGAACAAATATTGATAGGTATTTATATACATTTGTATATAGTTCTTTTTGTTTCTTCATTCTTTAATAAAACTCCATAAAACTCTTAATTCAGGTGTACTCTTATGTTTCTGTCACATTTTTATAACATGCCAGTAATATATATTTTCATTAGACGCAACTGTTACTACAACATGCAGGATTCCATAATTTTAGCTGGAAAGTGCAAACCTAACCCAGAAAGAGGGCTCTTACACAAGTGCTGACAAATTACTTTTCATGAAAAAGGGAAGGGTAGGGGAGAGGCAAGTTAAACTTTTTGGGTTATAGGAATAACATATTGGGAATAAGTTACCCTTTATTAGTTAGTGAAATGGGTGTATAGGAAATTAACTAACCTTTTCATCTTTTTTATGGAGTAAATATTTCTGCCAGTTTTCCATCAGAGCAATGGGGAAGTCTGTATATCTCTGATACATCAAACTACAGATTAGTACAGCACATGGAATGTCAGACATCTTCAATTTAGCTTCTGTAATGGCTGCTGCCTATAAAACATCACTAGTATTATACCAAACATTTCATTGAATTTAGTCTGCATTCTACAAGGAAGGATCAAAAGAAGATAACAAATGTATAACACTACAAGACAATGTTTGATTTATAAAAACCAATTCTGTGAAAATATTGTTGTTTGTGGTATTTATGTATATTTTTTTGTCCACAGTTAAATTTTTAATACATCCAAAATATAAATTTTCCTTTAATCAGTTTATTCAGGTATGAAAAATTTTAAAGCCCTTTTACAAACTAAATTTCCGTTTAAAAATTTTGTTTGTTATGTATGTTACCACATACAAAATGTATTCATACTTACAACTTCACCAACATATTTAGTCAGGTTCAATGCTTCAAAGTCTTTCACTAGACTGTCTTTCTGACCTTCAGTAAGATTTCTCTGTAAATATAAAGATGAAATTATTGCATTTCTTTTAATGGAAGTAATATGTTAAAGGGACATTAGCTATGATTAAGGAGCAAAAAGTGGAATATTGAAATAAAATGTCGCTTTTTTCAGTCAGTTTGGTTCAATTTTGTCAAAAACATTGCATTTGTATAATTGGCTAGCAAGTCAATAATTCAATCTCATTTGAATCTGTATTCCTGCAACATTAATTTGACACTTAGCTGGAGATGGGTTGTGCATGAGCTAAGCGTGTTCAGTTATTTAAAAGAAAAGAATGTCAACATTAAAACCTGAAATAATGGGGCCACCAGGAAACACCATCTCGTTGACTGTTACTGCCCACAGAAAATCAATCATATGCAGGTAAAACCACAATTTTTTTTAAATCTGTGACTTGAAATCAAACAGACCCAGAAAAATCGTCATTTATACTATTTATACTATTGCACATGCTTGTCTGTCTGTCTGTCTGTCTATTTATATTTATGTTTATATCAGATTTTAGGATCACTGGCAGACTTGGGAGGTCATTCTAACTGTACATACGATGACATCTAGTCTTAAATATGCATGAAATGCTGATACAATATAAAGAGTCCATGAATTATTAATTGTATCCTATGGACTTTTTTGTAATTGGGATAAATGTTTTAGAAAAAATGAGAATTTAAGTCAAATTGATGATCATGAATTTGACAGCTATTGCCCCTTTAAATGTTAAAATGGACAAGTTGGAAATGATTGGGTTTCTGTTTTATATACTGTAAACCAACTAAATTTTGCGAAACATTTATATTTGCAACTGGAATAAAATGCTCCGCTGGGCGCAGCTTGATACGACCGCAGAGGTCGAACCCTGAACAGTTGGGGCAAGTATGGACACAACATTCAAGCTTGATACAGCACTGAATTTGGATTGTGATTAAATATTTGACACAGCATAGGTTTCTGACACAGAATGAATGTGATCTAAGAACTTAAAAAATTTTAATTTACCTATTCAAACCATATCATTATTATTTGCTTTTATATATAAATCAGAAATAACCAATTTAAAATGGAAAATTTTAAAGAAAAAAAGGAAAAAAAAAATCCCCCCCCCCTCAAGATTCATCACCCCCAAACTCAATCCCAGACTTCCCTTTGTGGTATGGTATCTTGCAGTACAATTTCAGAGAGATCCATACACTTGAACACAAGTTATTGTCTGGAAACTGGAAAAATGCTTGTTTTTTGGCCCCTTTTTGGCCTCAAATTCCTAAACGTTTACGGCCATTACCCCCAAACTCAAACCCAGCTTTCCCTTTGTGGTATGGTATCTTGCAGTACAATTTCAGAGAGATCCATACACTTGAACACAAGTTATTGTCTGGAAACTGGAAAAATGCTTGTTTTTTGGCCCCTTTTTGGCCTCAAATTCCTAAACGTTTACGGCCATTACCCCCAAACTCAAACCCAGCTTTCCTTTTGTGATATGGAACCTTGTAGTACAATTTCATAAAGATCCATACACTAACACACAAGTTATTGTCCTGAAACTAGAAAAATGCTTGTTTTTTGCCCCTTTTTTGGCCCCTAATTCCTAAAATTTTGAGGCAATTACCCCCGAAATCAATCCCAGCATTCCCTTTGTGATATGGAACCTTGTGGTACAATGTCAGAGAGATCCATACACTAACACACAAGTTATGTCTGGAAGTTACAAAAATGCTTTTGGCCCCTAATTCCTTAACTGTTGGTACCATAACCCCCAAAATCAATCCCAACCTTCCTTTAGTGGTATTGAACCTTATGGTAAAATTTTATATAGATCCATTCACTTAAACAAAAGTTAGAGTGCGAAAACCAATGTGTCTTCGGACAACGACGACGACGACACCAACGGCATACCAATATACGACCGCAAAATTTTTTTGCGGTCGTATAAAAATAAGGCGAATATAAAAGGTCACAAAAATGTAAAAACCTGAATCTTCCCTTATCTAAATACATTAATAAAATTGGAAACTTTCAAAAGTAAAAGTTAATCAATAAAACAACATATGCACAACTTTGCATGAAGGGAAGCAATGTGTAGTTAAGAATGTGTCATTCTATTTTGTAGCAAGCTGCTTTCATCTGATGTTTGCTTTTTTATTTCAAAAACAGACTAAAACATTCAAGAAATTCCAATCAGTAACACTTCATACATGTATATATATTTGACCTCTACTTAAATTTTTTTTTACATCAAAGTAATTAATCAACCCTATTGAGATCTTTATAATCAGTATAAACTGTACAAACCAGTTTCTTGACAAATGCTGTATTCTTCTTCAAATTGGAATCAAGTTTCCTGAAGAAAGCTTCATCTGGTCTGTTTTCTATAATATGTCAATCAAAATTTTAATAACAATTTACAACATTTCTTTGTATAACTTTATGTAAAAGTTTTATTTATCCACATAGAGAGTGAATCTAATAAAATGCTTCGCTGGGGCGCAGCTTGATACGACCGCAGAGGTCGAACCCTGAACAGTTGGGGCAAGTATGGACACAAAATTCAAGCTTGATACAGCTATGACTTTGGATTGTCATTAAATATTTGACACAGCATAGGTTTCTGACACAGGATGAATGTGGTGTAAGAACTGGAAAAAATTTAATTTACCTATTATGGTGGAATATCCATAAACTAAATTGTTTGTTAATTTCAATATATCAAAGAATATGTAGAATTCAATGTTTGATGTAATGTAATAAAGTTGAAATTTGGACCGTTTTTATCAAATGTGGACCAATTTGGTAACATGTATAAATAATCAAAAATCTAAATACATGGGAGCCCATTTAAATACATCATAAAGGTATTAAAATAGAAAGTGACATCATAGTCATGGCTAAAAATAAACAAAAATCCTTAATCAGCAACATTTAAAGTAATATCTAAAAATAAAATTCCTTTGTAACCATAAAAGCCCATTTAAATACATCATAAAGATATTAAAATAGAAAATGACATCATAGTCATGGCTAAACATAGCAAAAAACCCTTAATCAGCATCATTTAACAGTAATATCTAAAAATGGAAGTTACATCATAAAGGTATTAAAATAGAAAATGACATCATAGTCATGGCTAAAAATAAACAAAATCCTTAATCAGCATCAGCAACATTTTATAGTAATATCTAAAAATAAAATTCCTTTGTAACCATAAAAGCCCATTTAAATACATCATAACAGATATTAAAATAGAAAATGACATCATAGTCATGGCTAAACATAGCAAAAACCTTAATCAGCATCATTTAACAGTAATATCTAAAAATAAAAATTTCTTTGCAACCATAAAAGTAAAATAGAAAATGACATCATAATCATAGCTAAAAATAAACAAAATTTTTTTATTGGCAAATTTTAAATGGAGTTTATTATACTAAAACAATAAATTTGCAACCATAAACATGATAAAACCCCATTTAAACACATCATAAAAGTATTAAATAATTCAACTACATCATAAGGCTATAAAAATAGAAAATGACTTCATAGTCAAGGCTAAAGGTAAACAAAAAACCTTCATCAGCAAAATTTTATATTGGCAAATTTCCAATGAAGTTTATTACACTAAAATTGTTGGCAAATTTCCAATGCATTTATTAACAATAAAGTTATTGGCAAATTTCCAATTTACATAATTTAAAAGCAGTGTAGATGAGATATTTAAATGAGTTTGAATTACCAACCTTACACTGCTTTTAAATAATGTTCTTTACTCAATTATTTGTCTATTAAAATGGAAACCCTTGTTTTTTAACCTTTTTTCCCCTTATTCCTTAAACATTAGAGCCATAACCACCCCCCCCCCCCCCCCCCCCCAAAGCCAATTATTACTTTCCAATGTAACCTAAATTTCCAATATACATAATTTTAAATTTCAATTCCTCATGATATATAACCGTATCATTATTATTTTCTTTCATATATAAATCTGAAACAACCATCTTTAAATGGAAAATTTTAAAGAAAAAAAAAGGAAAAAAAAAAATCCTACCTCCCACACATTTTTTCAACCCCCTTTTGATTCATCATCCCCCACCTCAATCACAACCTTCAATTTGTGGTATGGTTCATTGCAATACAATTTCACAGAGATCCATACACAAGTTTTTGTTGCAAACTAAAAAAATCCTTATTTTTGACCAATATTTGGCCCCTTATTCATAAATGTTTGAGCAATTAACCCCAAAACTCAATTCCTACTTTCTCTTCGTGATAAAAAATAACTAACTTAAAATGTAAATTTTAAACAAAAAAAAAAGGAAAAAAAAAAATTACCCCTTTTTTGACCCCCGCCCCCTTATGATTCATCACCCCCACCCCCCTTTCCCCCCAAACCAAGCTCAATAACAGCCTTGCCTTTGTGGTATGGTACCTTGTAATACAATTTTAGAGAGATCCATACACTTGAACACAAGTTATTGTCTAGAAACTAAAAAATGCTTATTTTAAACCCCTTTTTAGGCCCCTTATTACTAAACGTTTTGGGCAATTACCACAACACTCAATTCCAGCTTTCCCTTTGTGAAATGGAACCTTGTAGTAAAATTTCAGAAAGATCCATACACTTACACACAAGTTATTGTCATGAAACTAGAAAAATGCTTGTTTTTTGCCCCCTTTTGGCCCCTTATTCCTAAAATTTTGAGGCAATTAACCCCAAAATCAATCCCAGCATTGACCCTTTGTGATATGGAATCTTGTGGTACAATGTCAAAGAGATCCATATGCTAACACACAAGTAATGTCTGGAAGTTACAAAAATGCTTATTTTCGGCCCCTTTTTGGCCCCTAATTCCTTAACTGTTGGTACCATAACCCCCAAAATCAATCCCCACCTTCCTATTGTGGTATTGAACCTTATGGTAAAATTTCATAGAGATCCATTCACTTAAACTAAAGTTAGAGTGCGAAAACCATTGTGTATTCGGACGACGACGACGACGACGACGACGCCAACGTCATACCAATATACGACCTCAAAATTTTTTTGCGGTCGTATAAAAATAAGGACATAATCATATATGTAATGATTTAATTCTTTCAGGGATGAAAATTGAAACCGCTTTTTTTTTTTTTTTTTATTTTATATCAGTATCAAGCAAGTTATCAATAATCACAACTTGTCAACCTTATGCTGCTATATGTTTTGGTAATCATACAATATAAGTAAAATATGATGTTGTCATCATTACATTATAATACAAGAAATGATTGTAACAGGATGCTGTTACGAAGTCTCCCAAACGAAGCTCCCATAATTCGTAATTCCCAGTGTCGCCTGACATTGGACAAAGTCCAGTGAAAATTGGTTTGGTCCAGTAAAGTTAATGCATTAGTGATGCCTGGGGACTAACCGTGTATATCATTCAAATCATCTTGGCATGACAAACCAGAATATATATGGTTTAGGGGTGGGGATCTCGACCATTTACAAGATACTAGAACATTGGGGGTGGGGGGAACCCCTGGGGACTGACCCTATACATCATTCAAATGTTCGAGAAACGACGAACAGGAATATATATGGTCTAGGGGTGGGGATCTCGACCATTTACAAGATATTAGAACATTGGGGGTGGGGGGAACTCAGTGGGGACTGACCGTATACGTCATTCAAATGTTCGAGACATGATGAACAGGAATATATATGGTTTAGGGGTGGGGATCTCGACCATTTACAAGATATAAGAACTTTCTCAAATGGCAGGGGGTGGGGTGACCCCTGGGGACTAACCCTGTATATCATTCAAACCATCTTGGTATGACAAACCAGAATATATATGGTTTAGGGGTGGGGATCTTGACCACTTACAAGATATAAGAACTTTCTTAAATAGAAGGGGCTGGGGGTGACCCCTGGGGACTAACCCTGTATTTCATTTGATGTGCTTTATCATGACAAACCAGAATATATATGGTTAAGGGGTGGGGATCTCGACCATTTACAAGATATTAGAACTTTCTCAAATGGCAGGGGGTCGGGATGACCCCTGGGGACTAACCCTGTATATCATTCAAACCATCATAGCATGACAAACCAGAATATATATGGTTTAGGGGTGGGGATCTTAACCACTTACATTAGAACTTTCTTGAATGGCTGGGGGTGGGGGTGACCCCTGAGGACTAACCCTGTATTTCATTTGATGTGCTTTATCATGACAAACCAGAATATATATGGTTTAGGGGTGGGGATCTCGACCATTTACAAGATATTAGAACTTTCTCAAATGGCAGGGGGTCGGGATGACCCCTGGGGACTAACCCTGTATATCATTCAAACCATCTTAGCATGACAAACCAGAATATATATGGTTTAGGGGTGGGGATCTTGACCACTTACAAGATATTAGAACTTTCTTAAATGGCATGGGGTGGGGGTGACCCCTGGGGACTAACCCTGTATTTCATTTGATGTGTTTTATCATGACAAACCAGAATATATATGGTTTAGGGGTGGGGATCTCGACCATTTACAAGATATTAGAACTTTCTCAAATGGCAGGGAGTCGGGATGACCCCTGGGGACTAACCCTGTATATCATTCAAATCATCTTGGCATGACAAACCAGATTATATATGGTTTAGGGGTGGGGATCTCGACCATTTACAAGATATTAGAACTTTCTCAAATGGCAGGGGATCAGGATGACCCCTGGGGACTAACCCTGTATATCATTCAAACCATCTTAGCATGACAAACCAGAATATATATGGTTTAGGGGTGGGGATCTCGACCATTTACAAGATATTAGAACTTTCTCAAATGGCAGGGGGTCGGGATGACCACTGGGGACTAACCCTGTATATCATTCAAACCATCTTAGCATGACAAACAAGAACATATATGGTTTAGGGGTGGGGATCTTGACCACTTACAAGATATTAGAACTTTCTTAAATGGCATAGGGTGGGGGTGACCCCTGGGGACTAACCCTGTATTTCATTTGATTTGCTTTATCATGACAAACCAGAATATATATGGTTTAGGGGTGGGGATCTCGACCATTTACAAGATATTAGAACTTTCTCAAATGGCAGGGGGTCGGGATGACCCCTGGGGACTAATCCTGTATATCATTCAAACCATCTTATCATGACAAACCAGAATATATATGGTTTAGGGGTGGGGATCTCGACCATTTACAAGATATTAGAACTTTCTCAAATGGCAGGGGGTCGGGATGACCCCTGGGGACTAACCCTGTATATCATTCAAACCATCTTAGCATGACAAACCAGAATATATATGGTTTAGGGGTGGGGATCTCGACCATTTACAAGATATTAGAACTTTCTCAAATGGCAGGGGGTCGGGATGACCCCTGGGGACTAACCCTGTATATCATTCAAACCATCTTAGCATAACAAACCAGAATATATATGGTTTAGGGATGGGGATCTTGACCACTTACAAGGTATTAGAACTTTCTTAAATGGCAGGGGGTGGGGGTGACCCCTGGGGACTAACCCTGTATTTCATTTAATGGATTTTATCATTTAGAACATTTTCAATTAAAAAGATTGTGTCTATCACAAACAGTTTTCAATTTATAATCATTTGAAAATTTTAAAAAATAAAATCCCATAGGGTTCTATAGTAAAACCCTCTTTTGTTTTTGCCCCTCAAAGTACCCCTTTATAAACCCCATTGCACAAACAAAACCCTGATTGCACCACTAGACATGTTAGTCTAACATTTTGTGAAACCCTAAGTTAATCTGACAAGCGGTTTTGGAGAACGGGTGCGGACAAGTTCAAATTTCAAAGCGGCGGAAGAGGAAGAGGAAGAGGAAGAAGAATAATAATAATAATAAGAACTGAGCAAAAACAATAAGTCTTCCCAAACTTCGTTTGGGAGACTTAATAATATAATAGTGTTTCAGTTTATGATTATTGCCTTACACTGACAAATAAGTGGTTTTGTTAAGGTTGGAATATCATGAATATAAAAACATTTTTTTTACAGTCAAATCATGACAAAAGAGTTACCTCCTATTGATGCATTTTTCTCTCTTAATTTGTCCTTCACATCTTGTTTCTCTTTGTTTTCTTTAATGAAGTCACTAAGACATTTCTGAAAGACACAAAACAAAACTTTATTTTTTTCATAGTTAACCTCCCAATAATTTGATCTTGCAGTCAGATATCAAGGTTTATTTTTGTTATTGGATAGTCATTTTTCAAAGTCTATTTAACCTCAAAATATGAACCCTTGGAACTGTAAATCAACAATTGATAAATCTTTATTTTTAGGTCACAATATTTTCTGTACAGTGATAAGCTCGTCTATTCTCAATTCATTACAGTAACAACATTAAGCTAAACACACCTTTTCATCTTCCAATAATTTCTTTGCATCTTCCTCTTCCTTTTTCTACAATGGAATCAAGATTCATACAAGACATATATGATATTGACATTTGTCAATCACTAAAGATTGTATGGTGAACTCTAGATCACCTTATTGTTTACTTGAATAGCTGGATTATGTCTCAGTGACATTTACCACTCACCTCCTTTTTATTAATACTTTGCTGCTCTAATTCTCTTAAATATAATTTACTATCAATTTTTTAATTTTGTTGTTGTTGATATGTTGGTTGACATGAGATAAGTGTTATTGATGATTTTATTTATCATTAATAAATATAAACTATTTTCAAGAAATAGCAATCAATTTCTCCCACTTTCACCCTTCTACTCTAATAAAAGCCAGACATGATGATATTCACATTCTTCCTTTATCATGATAATCCAGTGAATTGTCATGTTTGAGTCTAATTTTCACTATATTATTCATCAGGATTTTAATGCCAGAATTATTCTTGCAAAAAATTCAACATCAATTCAATTTACTTTGAAAGTAATTGTGATTGAGTTTTTTTAACTATTAACTGTCTTAGGTACTTTGATTTGAAGAGTGATCCAGGAGTAGACACCTAACAATGTTCAGTAGTTTTCTTTTAGAGATAATAAACATGAAGATCATTAATACAACAACACTTAGTTAACAATATGTTATTGGTTGGTTTCAACTTGTTTGGCCATGTAAGATGGCATCTTCAAAACATAAAAGTATCACGAAAATACACTGCCTGATTGAGTGTACAACACTACATACACCGACACCCCCCCCCCCCCCCCACCCACCAATGATTCCTGGGCATAGTGTAAATGTTTTACCCATGGTAAGACAAAATGGAACATCATAGAATAAAGAATGGAAAAGGAAAATGTGTCAAAGAGACAATAACATACATAATTTCCTTCACTAGAATTCAAAGTATTTACTCCACATAAGAAGGTATGTATCTATTCTGTGAACTGACTAATGAAATAACTTATTCAAACTTACACTAAACTGTTGGCCTTGTCGGAGTATTTTTATGTTTTATATACAAAATCAAACCTTCTTTTCTTCCTCTTTCTGTTTTATTTCTTCCTCTTCCTTTCTTTTTTCTTCTTCCTTTTTCTTTTCTTCCTCTTCTTTTTGTCTTTTCTGTTCTTCTTCTTTCTGCCACTGTGCCTCCAGATCTGATGCAGACTTCACATGCTTGGACTTCAGGTCTGGTAAAGGTGCAGATTTCTTTCCACTGAGAAAATAGTATTATTACTGTTACAGAAATAGCAATATTTAAAAATCTCATGTCAAGCCTACAAAAGATACTGCTTTTTAAATAGAATGCTGCAGTGAAATTATGATAATAATCATCACTGTAGACATCTTTCATCTAAATTTGTTTTTGTATGCACAATAAGTTAAAACTGCATGAAAGTATAAACTTAAACCACTGAAGACTGTTTGGTGATATCAAGATTTTAACTGTGGTGTCAGTTGTTGAATTACTGTTTCACTGTTTACAAACAAATCCTTTTATTCATAAGAAAAGTAGTTAGAAAATATGTCAACAAAAGACATCATGAGATTTCAACATGAAATGGAACATTATAATGAAACTTAAATCTGGACAGATGGCAGGGCCAAAAGCTACCTTTCATTATCTTTCAATGGCTTTGTATTACTGTCTTTTGTATTCTTTCCATCACTTAACCTAAATAAGTAAAAAATACACACAAATTGAATAATATTAAATAATAAGGTACTAATAAATAAAACATAATCAAATCTTATTTTACTCATTTCATGTCTTTTATAGGCCTAAAAATTAGTTTTTCACATATTATGAATTCTATCTGTCCTCCTTACTTAAAATTAAAGGACAATAGGTATATTCTTTTCCAAAACAAAATTAAGTGATAAATGTTCTCACCCCTAGGATATAAAAGCTTTTTTACTGCTATGAGACAAGCTACACAATCTTTTTCACACCTATTCAAACAAGCATTCTGTGAGTATTGCCTGGCAATACATAGTCCCCTAACGGTTAAAAATTCATTGTACTGGAACAAAATGCTAACTTGATCTATAACTTGTCATGGTGTGAACTATATAACAAATATCTAGTCAATATCTTCAACATGTTCAAGCAAAACGAAAAAAAATGTGGAAAATTTATTACTTTTGTGAATTTTCTAAGTCCAAGGACCATAACTCTGCACAAAATCATTAGACCAGACCAAAATTCGAACTTGATCTGTAACTTGTCATGATAAAACTATATAACAATCATTAAATCCATATTTTCAAGCGCGACAAAAAAAAGTGTGGAAAACTGATTATTTGCGTGAATTTTCTAAGTTTAAGGACCATAACTCTGCACAAAATTGTCAGACCGGAACAAAACTCGAACTTGATCTGTAACTTGTCATAATAAAACAATACACCTAAAAGTGCAAACCTAAAGTCCCCTTCAACTTCGTCGGTAGGGGACTATTTAAAAAGTAAGCTTCAATCTAATTCTTTTTTGTGTATATAAAGCATTGAGTAGAAAGTTTAGCATCTACTATAAAAGAACGGTCTACAATCTAAATTTTAAACCTTCAAGACCGTACTTTAAAATAAAATGCTTCGCTGGGGCGCAGCTTGATACGACCGCAGAGGTCGAACCCTGAACAGTTGGGGCAAGTATGGACACAAAATTCAAGCTTGATACAGCTATGACTTTGGATTGTCATTAAATATTTGACACAGCATAGGTTTCTGACACGGGATGAATGTGGTGTAAGAACTGGAAAAAATTTAATTTACCTATTATGGTGGAATATCCATAAACTAAATTGTTTGTTAATTTCAATATATCAAAGAATATGTAGAATTCAATGTTTGATGTAATGTAATAAAGTTGAAATTTGGACCGTTTTTGTTCAATGTGGACCAATTTGGTAACATGTATAAATAATCAAAAATCTAAATACATGGGAGCCCATTTAAATACATCATAAAGGTATTAAAATAGAAAGTGACATCATAGTCATGGCTAAAAATAAACAAAAATCCTTAATCAGCAACATTTAAAGTAATATCTAAAAATAAAATTCCTTTGTAACCATAAAAGTCCATTTAAATACATCATAAAGATATTAAAATAGATAAAATGCTTCGCTGGGCGCAGCTTGATACGACCGCAGAGGTCGAACCCTGAACAGTTGGGGCAAGTATGGACACAACATTCAAGCTTGATACAGCTCTGAATTTGGATTGTGATTAAATATTTGACACAGCATAGGTTTCTGACACAGAAAGAATGTGGTCTAAGAACTTCAATTTTTTTAATTTACCTATTATGGTCCAATGTCCAAAATCAAAATACATGGTTAGATTCAGCATATCAAAGAACCCCATATATTCAATTTTTGTTGAAATCAAACAAAGTTTAATTTTGGACCCCAACTTGGACAAACTTGAAAACTGGTCCCATAATCAAAAATCTAAACACGTTTAGATTCAGCATATCAAAGTACCCGAAGAATTCAATTTTTGTTAAAATCAAACTAAGTTTAATTTTGGACCCTTTGGACCTTAATGTAGACAAATTTAAATAAACTGCTTCGCTGAGCGCAGCTAGATACGCCCGCAGAGGTCCAACCCTGAACAGTTGGGGCAAAAATGGACACAATATTCAAGCTTGATTCAGGTCTGAATTTGGATTGTAATTAAATATTTGACATATTATAGGTGTCTGAATAAATGTATTCAAAGAACTTGAAATTGGTTATATGAATTGAATTTATGTTCAATTAAAGATTTCTTGCTGTTGTGCAATACTTAGTAAATCTGTTGTCAGACTATAAACAAATAAAGTATAATTAATTCTCAATGTCATATTAGAAATTTATGAAAATAAAAAGGGAGCTTACATCAATAGATATAAACAATTCACCAAAGTTTCATGAGAATTGGTGACAGCATTTTTGAGTTATTGTCAGAAAACTGGAAAATCACCCCTTTTTAATGAATAAAACCCCATAACTCAGAAATGTAAAATGTAAAATTTATAAAATTCTAAAGGGAGCTTACATCAATACATACAAACAATTCACCAAAGTTTCATAAGAATTGCTGAAAGCATTTGTGAGTTTTTGTCTGATAACTGGAAAGTCCCCCCTTTTTTTATGAATAAAACCCCGTAACTCGGAAACGTAAAATCTAAAATTTATAAAAATCAAAAGGGAGCTCATGTCAATAAATATAAACAATTCACCACAATTTCTTGCAAGTTGGTGAAAGCATTCTTGACTTATTGTCCGAAAACTGGAAAATCCCCCTTTTTTTAATGAATAAAACCCCATAACTCGGAAACGTAAAATCTAAATTTTATAAAAAACGAAAGGGAGCTCACGTCAATAGATATAAACAATTCACCAAAGTTTTATGCAAATTGGTTTAAGCAATTTTGAGTTAATGTCCGACATGTTGACGACGGACAGACGGACGGACAGACGGACAGACGGACTGACGGACAGAGGTATACCATAATACGTCCCGTAAACGGGCGTATAAAAACGGGACCCAAAATTAAAAATCTAAAAACACGGTTAGATTTGGCATATCAAAGAACCCCAATAATTAAATTTTTGATGAAATCAAACAAAGTTTAATTTTGGACCCTTTTGACCTCAATATGAACCAATTTGATAGCGGGCCCACAAATAAAAAATCTAAATACATGGTAAGATTCAGCATATCAAAGAACCCCATATATTCAATTTTTGTTGAAATCAAACAAAGTTTAATTTTGGACCCCAATTTGGACCAACTTGAAAACTGGGCCAAAAATCTAAAATCTGAATACATGTTTAGATTCAGCATATCAAAGAACCCCATATATTCAATTTTTGTTGAAATCAAACAAAGTTTAATTTTGGACCCCAACTTGGACCAACTTGAAAACTGGTCCCATAATGAAAAATCTAAACACATGTTTAGATTCAGCATATCAAAGAACCCCAAAAATTCAATTTTTGTTAAAATCAAACTAAGTCTAATTTTGGACCCTTTGGACCTTAATGTAGACCAATTTAAAAAACGGGACCCAAAATTAAAAATCTAAATACACGGTTAGATTTGGCATATCAAAGAACCCCAATAATTCAATTTTTGATGAAATCAAACAAAGTTTAATTTTGGACCCTTTTGACCTCAATATGAACCAATTTGATAGCGGGCCCACAAATAAAAAATCTAAATACATGGTAAGATTCAGCATATCAAAGAACCCCATATATTCAATTTTTGTTGAAATCAAACAAAGTTTAATTTTGGACCCCAATTTGGACCAACTTGAAAACTGGGCCAAAAATCTAAAATCTGAATACATGTTTAGATTCAGCATATCAAAGAACCCCATATATTCAATTTTTGTTGAAATCAAACAAAGTTTAATTTTGGACCCCAACTTGGACCAACTTGAAAACTGGTCCCATAATCAAAAATCTAAACACATGTTTAGATTCAGCATATCAAAGAACCCCAAAAATTCAATTTTTGTTAAAATCAAACTAAGTTTAATTTTGGACCCTTTAGACCTTAATGTAGACCAATTTAAAAAACAGGACCCAAAATTAAAAATCTAAATACACGGTTAGATTTGGCATATCAAAGAACCCCAATAATTCAATTTTTGATGAAATCAAACAAAGTTTAATTTTGGACCCTTTTGACCTCAATATGAACCAATTTGATAGCGGGCCCACAAATAAAAAATCTAAATACATGGTAAGATTCAGCATATCAAAGAACCCCATAAATTCAATTTTTGTTGAAATCAAACAAAGTTTAATTTTGGACCCCAATTTGGACCAACTTGAAAACTGGGCCAAAAATCTAAAATCTAAATACATGTTTAGATTCAGCATATCAAAGAACCCCATATATTCAATTTTTGTTGAAATCAAACAAAGTTTAATTTTGGACCCAACTTGGACCAACTTGAAAACTGGGCCCATAATCAAAAATCTAAACACATGTTTAGATTCAGCATATCAAAGAACCCCAAGAATTCAATTTTTGTTAAAATCAAACTAAGTTTAATTTTGGACCCTTTGGACCTTAATGTCGACCAATTTAAAAAACGGGACCCAAAATTAAAAATCTAAATACACGGTTAGATTCGGCATATCAAAGAACCCCAATAATTCAATTTTTGATGAAATCAAACAAAGTTAAAATTTTGGACCCTTTGGGCCTCAATGTGGACCAATTTAAAAACGGGGCCCAAAATCCAAAAACTTAATACACGGTTAGATTCAGCATATTAAAGAACCCCAAGAATTCAAGAATAAAACCCCATTGAAATTGATCAAGAAATAAGCAATTTATACGAAGTATCTTCTTTTGCACAATACTGTGCAATTGAATATTTCTTGCTATTGCGCAATACTGTACAATTGACAATTTCTTGCTATTGCGCAATATTGTGCAATTGAAGATTTCTTGCTATTGCGCAATACTGTGCAATTGAAGATTTCTTGCTATTGTGCAATACTGTGCAATTGAAAATTTCTTGCTATTGCACAATACTTATTATATAATAATTTACATATCCTGTTTGGTGTGTATCTCCTACCATATCATTATTATTTGCTTTTAAATATAAATCAGAAATAACCAACTTAAAATGGAAAATTTTAAAAGAAAAAAAAAAGGAAAAAAAAAAAAAAAAAAAAAAAAAAATCCCCCCCCCAAATTTTTTGAACCCCCTTATGATTCATCACCCCCAAACTCAATCCCAGCCTTCCCTTTGTGGTATGGTACCTTGCAGTACAATTTCAGAGAGATCCATACACTTGAACACAAGTTATTGTCTGGAAACTAGAAAAATGCTTATTTTTGGCCCCTTTTTGGCCCCCAATTCCTAAACGTTTCGGGCAATTACCCCCAAACTCAATTCCAGCTTTCCCTTTGTGATATGGAACCTTGTAGTACAATTTCAGAAATATCCAAACACTTACACACAAGTTATTGTCATGAAACTAGAAAAATGCTTGTTTTTTGCCCCTTTTTTGGCCCCCAATTCCTAAAATTTTGAGGCAATTACCCCCAAAATCAATTACAGCCTTCCCTTTGTGATATGGAACCTTGTGGTACAATGTCAGAGAGATCCATACACTTACACACAAGTTATTGTCTGAAAGTTACAAAAATGCTTATTTTTGGCCCCTTTTTGGCCCTTAATTCCTTAACTGTTGGTACCATAACCCCCAAAATCAATCCCAACCTTCCTTTCGTGGTATTGAACCTTATGGTGAAATTTCATGGAGATCCATTCACTTAAACTTAAGTTAGAGTGCGAAAACCAATGTGTCTTCGGACGACGCTGGACGACGCCGGACGACGACGACGACGACGACGACGCCAACGTCATACCAATATACGACCAAAAAATTTTTAATTTTTGCGGTCGTATAAAAAATGACAAACATTCCTTCTATCTTAATATTAAACAGTGTATGCATATTAAAATTATTGCAAGAATAAATTGGAAGGCAAAAGTCAGTAAAATGTCCCTGCAGAAAAACTTGCAGGAGGATATTCTTACAAGCCAAAAAATCTCCTTTTTGATTAAAATTTTCTCAAATCACTCTCTATTAATTGCACAAGTTGTGACTTTACATGTACATTTGTAATTTTTTTTATGTTTTACAATAAAAAGTCGGATAAATTTATACAATTTGAATTATGTATTTTAATATTTATACACATACTTCGTCTTAGAATCACCACTCCCTCTTTTCCCATTTCTGTCATCTCTCCTTCTTTCATCTTCAAATCTCTTAGCTTTATCATCCCTGTTGTTTCTTTCCCGCTCTCGTCTGTCTGAATATCTTTTGGAATCTTTTTCTTCAGAACGTTTTCCTCTATCATCACTAATTTTCTTCCTCTGGTCATATCTTTCTTCCTCTTTTTTGTAACCTCTACCATCCCCCCTTCCACCAGTACTACTACGGCTGTCTGTCTTACTCCGTAGACCGTCCTGTTTACTTGGCTGACTTCGGGATGGTGATTCTCTAGTGTATGAATACTCATCAGGTTTCTTAGATACACTTTTGTTTTCTTTCTTTTCAAATTTTTTACTTAAAGAATCATCGTAAGATGACTTTTTTAATGATTCATATTTCTTTGCTGTCTTTTCATCTTTTATTTCAGCCTTTTCTTTTATTATCTCTTTCTTCTCATCTGTTTCAGTTGTTTTGGGAGTGATGTCTTGACTTGGCTTTGTATTACTTGTTTTAATTGGCACTTCCTCACTTTGTTTTGTATTACTTGTTTCAGATGGCACTTCTTTCTCAACCTTTCCTTCTGATTCAATACCATCATCACATATGTTACTTGTGATTTCTCCACTAACAGCTGAATCAACCAGATTGATTTTGTCAGTTTCTTCTGAAAGGCTTTCAATATCACACATATTTTGATCTACTGTAGTTCCTGCAGCTGTTTCAGGTTCATCTTTTTCTATGTTATTTTCAATATTTTCTGTTTGAGCATAACCTGTAAAGTCTTCTGGTAAAGTCTCAGTACTTTCATCATTAACATCATCTGACTTATCTTTTGTCAAAACATCAACACTTACCCCATCACCCTCTTCAATATTCAATTTCTCTGAAACCTGAGAAGTGTCAGTTTTGTCATGAATCTCCTCTGATACCTCATCATTTTTTATACAAACAGCCTCTGCTTCAGAAATATTTTGACTTAATGAAATTTCGTCTGATTTCTCTGGTAAATCTGTAGAATGATTTGGTTCTTCTGAATGATCATCCCTGGCATTGTTTGTCTGATCTTCCAATACACCATCCACTGAACTTCCTATATTTTCACTATCACTCATCTTCTGCTACATCTGAAAAACAAGTGACAATTTAGTATGATAACACAAACCCCAGAATAAGAAGTTAAAGGACTGTAATACAAAAAATGTAAAACAATCTTAAATTCTAGCATAAAATTCACAAACAAAAGATCACTTCAATAATGGCAGACATGGAAAAACTATATGCCTGAGAAGCCCTTATATTACTCAACTTGAAAATAGAAACAAGTCTAAGTGAGAGAGAAAAAAATTGTTTTGCTTTTAATCATTATGAAGCTTCAGGGAAGCTGAATCCTTATACAAAACTGTTTTATTCATCTTTAAAGGTAGCTGGGGTGTCTAAATGTTCAATGATACATTTTTTTAAACTTCTATAAAAGGCTTCTTGGTCAATGTTCTTTCAAATTTCAATACAAAATAAATTGCTTCGCCGAGCGCAGCTGGATACGACCGCAGAGGTCCAACCCTGAACAGTTGGGGCAAAAATGGACACAATATTCATGCTTGATACAGGTCTGAATTTGGATTGTAATTCAATATTTGACACATAATAGGTTTCTAACACAGAATAACTGTAGTCAAAGAACTTAGAATTGGTTATATGATTTGAATTTATATTCAATTTTTTGCTTTTGTGCAATACACTATTCTGTTGCGAATTGACCTCCCCCCCCCTTTTAAAAAAAAAAAAAAATTTGAAGGATTTTTTTTTTGATTTCTGAAATCTTGAGGAGAAAAAATTGTCCCCCCATCCCCCCCAATTTTTTGCAACCATAATAACCCATTTAAATACATCATAAAAGTCTTAAAATAGAAAATGACATACATAATCAAAGCTAAAATTAATTTACCTTAATCAGCATTTTTAAAATTATTAAAATAGTAACTTCTAAAAATGAATTGACAGCTAATCACCTCAAGACAATACAAAAATTCTTTTTACATAATTTAAAAGCAGTGTAAAGGGTCCCTTAAACTGTAATTTGTACTTAAGTAATTGTCCATTAACCAGGACACCCTTGTTTTTTCTCATTTTTTTGCCCCTAATTCCTAAACGGTTTGAGCCATAACCCCCCAAAAGCCAATCGTAACCATCCCTTTGTGGTATGGAAACTTGTGGTATAATTTCAGAGAGATCCATACACTGTTCCACAAGTTATTGTCTGGAAACTAGAAAAATGCTTATTTGGGCCCCTTTTTGGCCCCTAATTCCTAAACTGTTGAGACCATAACCCCCAAAATCAATCCCAACCTTCCTTTTGTGGTTATAAACCTTATGTTTAATTTCATAGATTTCTATTTAATAATACAAAAGTTATTGTCCTGAAACCAAATGGCTTCTGACGACGACATGATACCAATATACGGCCGCAAAATTTTTTGCGGTCGTAAAAAAATGGGGGTCATAGACCTTGTTTTTCCCATTAAAATACGATGAAATCACAGTTCTTTTATATGGGTTATACAGGGGAAACTTTTAAGTACACTTAACGACACTAAATTTTATGATAGTTTAATATTTAAATTTCAAGCAGATGTTTCTGTTGTATATTGAATAATACTTGGTAAATTTTTTTTTTTAAATGGATTTGTGCAACATGCCCAATAAAGATGCTCAGAAAAAGACACCCGATCTACCTTAATATAGAAATAAATTATTAATATTTTTGTTATTATTAATATGAATTTGAAATATCATTTTAAATGGAATTAATAAATTGACCTATTATGTTATTTATTGGTCAATTTAGATCAACAAAATGTGATCAGTGACTACTGACTATATGCTAAAGAAATATACCAAACCAGTCATTCCCAAGGTCTGTCAGACATTTGGCAATGTCCAGTAATAAATGGTTTGGTCCAGTAAAATGTCATCAAATGACCAGTGTAGATACAAGAATTTTGTAATACTCATATTAAATGTAAATAAATTGCTTCGCCGAGCGCAGCTGGATATGACCGCAGAGGTCCAACCCTGAACAGTTGGGGCAAAAATGGACACAATATTCGCACTTGATACAGGTCTGAATTTGGATTGTACTTAAATATTTGACACATAATAGGTTTCCGACACAGAATAACTATAGTCAAAGAACTTAGAATTGGTTATATGATTTGAATTTATATTCAATTTTTTGCTTTTGTGCAATACACTTTGCTGTTGCCAATTAACCCCCCCTCCCCCAACAAAATAACCCACCTTTTTTTTCGCTTTTGTGCAATACACTATGCTGTTGCGTATTGAAAATTAATATTCCTTATTAATAATAGTAACTTCTAAAAATAAATTGACAGCTAATCATCTCAAGACAATACAACATTTCTTTAAACATAATTTAAAAGCAGTGTAAGGGAGGTAATCTAAACGTTGTGTTTGGATTACCTCCCTTACACTGCTTTTAAATTGTCTTAAGTAATTGTCCATTAACCAAGAAACCCTTGTTTTTCCCCCTTTTTTGCCCCTAATTCCTGAACGGTTTGAGCCATAACCCCCAAAGCCAATCCTAACCATCCCTTTGTGGTATGGAAACTTGTGGTATAATTTCAGAGAGATCCATACACTGTTCCACAAGTTATTGTCTGGAAACTAGAAAAATGCTTATTTGGGCCCCTTTTTGGCCCCTAATTCCTAAACTATGAGGACCATAACCCCCAAAATCAATCCCAACTTTCCTTTTGTGGTTATAAACCTTGTGTTTAAATTTCATAGATTTCTATTTAATTATACTAAAGTTATTGTCGGGAAACCAACTGTCTTTGGATGACGCTGACGATGACTACGACGTGATACCAATATACGACCGCAAAATTTTTTGCGATCGTATAAAGACTGCTAAAACACTGACTGGACCAGTAATGCTTGAAAAATTACTAGACCAAAAGACCACTGAGGTAAAAAAAAAAGTGACATTATTTTCTAACTAATTTTTAAACAAAATGTACAAGATTCTCATTTCCATTGTTAAATATATTTACTTTTTTATTGTATAAATAAACAGTTTCTTTCTAATTTATATGATACAATATTGATTAATTTCCCCAAAGTGTACATGCCAAATCTTCTTATTTTTATATGTAAATGTATTTCCATATTGTTCTATCGTAAGCCTCAAGGTCATAAAAAGGTCAAACAGGTAATTGTTGTAAAAACATGACCATTCTCTCTCAAAAGGTGTTAATTTATGGATTCAATTTCAAACAGTGTCCATAGATTACATTCAGGGTGAATTTTAAAAACAATGACTCCTGTTAATCTAAGACCATCCAATGTGTACACTTGTAATTTGGGGTGAATTGCAAATAACTTGAATTACAATGAAAGCAGACCATACCAACACAGCCTGCTACATGCATGTGCCATTGTTGCTTTCAACATATTTTGTTCTTCCAAAAATGAAATACAAACTCATGTCTCCACCAAAAGAGATAAACTAAACATAACAATCTCCTAATATTGTTGATGATTCAAATTAAATTTTCTATAATTCCATGCATTGCATCTCAGCGTGTTCAACTAGAGGGAAGCAAATATACCAGGAATTGATTAGGATTCACTTGAAAGTTTTTCTGTCTAAGGTTGTTATTCCCTTTAGGTATTCTGGCTTCCTTTGTCAATAAAAACGGGCCAATATGATTTAAGTAAAGTGTGCTGAAAGTGGGGTTTAACACCAACATCAATCAATCAATCATGAGTTGGTATAGTTGTTCACAGTTACTTGTTTTTTGTTTCATTTTTTGAAAAGTGCTAGTAAATATATCCAATGTAGATTTTGAAAGTAAGCAGGTATTAACACATTAGTCTCCTTGGAAACTTAAATTTGAGCAACACTAACCCAACAATCAATCATAAACTGTTAAAATTATCATATTTGAAAGGGGTTCAAAATCCTTCCTCAACTGATTTATTTTATGTTTGTTCTTATGTTGTGATGTAACACAATTGTCCCTGGTCAGGGGTTGTGTTTTAAGCACTTGTTGACATTTTAAACCCAGTCATTTTCTGTATTTGCTTGTCCCTGGTCAGGAACCTGCTATAAATTTATTAAAACATTAATTTCCTTGCGTCAGACAATTGGACTGACATTGTAACAACATATGTCAGACATTTCAAATTTTTATCGTCTAATAATCTGGACTGAGTATGTCCTAGGTCGTACTGTATCATGAGAGCCAAAAAGACAGAAACTGAAAGCAGGGATTTGTTTCAGGGACTGAGACTAGACTCTCAATCCCAAAAGGGAATAGCTGGTTCCCTAGGACTGATAAAATTTTGCTTTTAGAAATAAAACTCATATGCTCTGTACTAAAAAGTATAAAAGGTAAAGTCCGCATCTTCTTTTTCGCAACGAGAATTTAGGAAAAAACCCTTTCTGGTAATTTCAAATCGTGTGTGATTGTTTGCTGTATTTTCATGGAACATTCCATTTTTCATCATCATGTAGAAGTTGAAAATGCTTGTAAATGATTCTAGAACACATCGCATGTGTTAAAATAAATCAAAATCACAAAACAAATAAACTGCTTCGCTGAGCGCAGCTGGATACGCCCGCAGAGGTCCAACCCTGAACAGTTGGGGTAAAAATGGACACAATATTCAAGCTTGATACAGGTCTGAATTTGGATTGTAATTCAATATTTGATATATTATAGGTTTCTGAATAAATGTAGTCAAAGAAGTTGAAATTGGTTATATGAAAGATTTCTTGCTGTTGTGCAATACATTGTGCTGTTGCGCAATACTTAGTAAATCTGTTGTCAGACTATAAACAAATAAAATCTTATAACTCTGAAATGTAAAATTGAAAATTTATAAAAAGGGAGCTTACAAAAATAGATATAAACAATTTACCGAAGTCTCATAAAAAATGCTGAAAGCATTTTTGAGTTATTGTCCGAAAACTGGAAAATCCCCCTTTTTGTAATGAATAAAACCCCATAAATATATATTCTGAAATTTATAAAAATCAAAAGGGAGCTCATGTCGATAGAAATAAACAATTCACCAAAATTTCTTGCAAATTGGTGAA